AATAATGAACTTCTGACCTGGGCCAAAGTGCAAATACTTCAAGGACTCCGTATGCTCTGTAAACCAGGGACATAAGCATTCCTTTTTTGTTTTTAAAAACCACTGACTTTTAGGGTGCTTTGAGTGTCTCAGGGGGTTAAGCATCTGCCTTTGGCTCAGGTTGTGATTCCACGGTCCTGAGATCAAGACCCCGCATTGGGGGGCGGGGGTCCCTACTCAGCGGAGAGTTTGCTTCTCTCTCTCCCCGACACATCGCCCGCGTGGTCTCTCTTTCTCTCTCAAATAAACAAAATCTTTTAAGAAAAACTCACGGACTTTTGTTCCCTTAGTGGGACATAATTTGCATTGCTCCCCAAGCTTTGCTCCCTAAATTAGAGTTCTAAGACCCTAAATAAGTGCTTTTGTTTTCTTTCAGTTCTGCCTCTTTTCTCAGTCAACAGGTATATAAAATCAGCTCGGGGGACGCGGTGAGACATTTACCTCCACAGCTTCTGAACGCGTAGGGCTGGAGCATGGTCCAAGAACTGGCATTGCTGCAAGTCCCCAGGTGATGCTGAGGATGCTGTGAAACCCCCGGGGCGGGGCCATGCTGTGCGAGGTGAGACAAGAAAATGCCCAGAGGCCCTGGTAGGATCCCTGACGAAGCCCGGACATATGCCCACGGTTGCCGGAGGAGCAGTAATGTGGCCTCTGCTGCTTTTCTTGCCTCCAAGGTTCAAGCAAGTGTTTCTGGTTCGTGGAACCTAAAGAACTTCTAGACAACGAAGTTCCCAGGCTTCCAGCTGTTACAACCAGTGGGTGCAGCCACGGGGATGGCGGGGCGGGGGGGAATGGGGAGGACAGGGAAGCCATTAACGGAAGCTCTAAGAGAAGAAATTGTGCTCAACTGCTAACCCAAAAGCTTGCATAGATGTGCAGGAAAGTTTTCATAGTCATTTGTTCCAAACTATAAAAGTCCGTTTATCCCTGCCTATACTCCAAATATAAAGGGATTAGGAGGATCTGAGGTTCTTGGAAAAACAAGAAAATAAGACCCTAAAAGAGAGAAATTTCAAGGTTGAGGTGATCAGACCAGACTGTCCAATGTGACTAATAACATGCACACAGTCAAGAGGCTTACTTAACAAAACCTGAAAGTAATATGATCAATGAAAGAAATCTTTGCTCTGTTGGCACGTACCCAAATGCAGAATCCCACTTGGACTTTGGAAACTATCCTTTTCTGTGAAAGTGAGCTATTAATAGGGGGAGTAGGCTTTGGAAACAAAGGCAAAGGGATCACAAGGAAGGCCACAAATCTGTGTTGGGAGAACAGAATTTTGCCCAGAGTAAGGCATACTTTAAGCGAGGGAAAGGAAGACTGAAAGGTGTTCTAAGTATACAGAAGGGGATCTCACAGTCCCTAGGCAAGTGAAGGCACTAAGACGCAATAATAAAAATGAAAATAAGAAAGGAGCTTTAGGGACAAAGAAATAAATGAACGTTAAAGGGGTACCTATAGAGAAAGCAGCCACCAAGGCAGTAAGCCTTGCATTAGAAATAAGAGTGGTGGGTATTATGGAGGGCACGTATTGCATGGAGGGCTGGGTGTGGTGCATAAACAATGAATTCTGTTATGCTGAAAAGAAATTAAAAAAAAAAAAAGAAATAAGATTTTGGTGAACAGAAAGAAGCCAGTCATTAAGGTGTAGTTAGCTTGTCTGTCTTCCACCAAATCTGCCTCTGTACAGGCACCATTTTAAAATCAGGCATCAAAACAGAATACTCCTGGCATAAAAGATCTGGTTTCATAAAATGACACGAAACAGGGACGCTGAAACTGTCACCGATTCAGGGAGCCTGAGATCATCAGATAATCACATTAGCACAGAGCCAGACTTTCAAGCGCTATGTTTTCTTCAATTTTCTCTTGAATCCTTGTGTTTATAGTAATTCTATTTTGCAGAGTTGAAAAGTAATATTCTTTGCTCTCAGTAAATGAAACACTCCACGTTGCTGCCATATCTAAAGACATTTTAGGTCCCACGGACACATTTAGAAATGCTTAGATAGAAGAAATCACAAAGATAATAAACAGAGTAAATTAAGCATACTTTAACTTATGTTAAACCTTAAGACCTCTTTACGGGAAAAAGTGTACTTTGGAAGGAATGAACGAGATAGTGAGAGAGGGAACACAAGCAGGGGGAGCAGCAGGCAGAGGGAAAAGCAGGCTCCTCTCTGAGCATGGAGGCCCATAATGGGCTCAGTCCCTGGACGCTGGGATCATGACCTGAGCTGAAGACAGACGCTTAATGACTGAGCCACGCAGGCGCTCCCTATGATAGATTATTGAATGAACAAAGCAAAAGCAGCATTATATATATGCTTAGGGTCACATCTAGTAAATTGAAAAAATAAACACATTAAACGGATAAGTGGGCATGTCTGATAGACATTAAACTAGTAGACCAGGTGAGACAGGCAAAGGAGAAAGGAGGACTTAGAGTTTATAGGCTTTAGTTCCACTCAAGGATTATGAGCCTTTTATTTATTTATTTATTTTAAATTTTATTTATTTACTTATTTATTTGACAGATCACAAGGAGGCAGAGAGGCAGGCAGAGAGAGAGAGGGAGAAAGCAGGCTCCCCACTGAGCAGAGAGCCCAACGTGGGGCTCGATCCCAAGACCCTGAGATCATGACCTGAGCCGAAGGCAGAGGCTTTAACCCACTGAGCCACCTAGGCACCCCGAGCCTTTTGTTTTATAAACATAAAAGATTTATCATTTAAATATCAAAATGCTGGATTTAGGAAAGCCGATTACTTGCACATTTCTTGACTTCCCTGGTTTTAGATTATCTTCTCAGCATTTCATACAGGAAACCAATGAAGTAATATATGCTGAGTTATAAGGAAAATAATTTATTTCACAAAAATGTGACATTAATGTAAGGTATCAGGAAGACATTCTCCATCAAGCAAATACAAAAGAAATATATAACTCATGCACTCCTCAGTACATATAGAAATTCATTAATCAGAAGTCGCTGTGTAAAAGACCAGTTATGAATCTATAACCCATTGGAACACAGAATTAATACTAAAATAATATAGAATCTGATTACAGAAAAGAACACAAAACTTGCAATTCTGGAATTAAAAGCTACATAATTTTCTCTAATAGGCCAAACCAAAATTCTCTGCTGTGCCCCTGAAATGGGAGCCTAGAAGTGGAAGAACGCACACATGCAAAGGTGGCCTCGTCTTTCATGTAAGGAGTGTAGCACTTTGTCATCATTGGGAAGACTGCCAGGAGTGCTGCCTGGTCCACAGCATGCTGGGGGAAGGTCACCAAGAAGACGTGACCGCCAGCTGACCCGTGAGCTGGACGTGGGAGATCCCAGGCTGCGCACCCCCACCCCTGTCTTTGGAACATGGATTCTGCTTGCCTTTCCTGCTTCCAGAGACTTCTCCAAGGACAAAGCCTTGGGCAGTGATGTGGTGTTGAGAACACCTGTGTGGGACCTGTGACTGATTCCAGTTAAGGCCTCTATATAAACTTTAAAGACCTGGCCAGCAGACATGAGGATCGATTTGCTTTACTGCCTCCACAAGACAAGCCTCCTATGTAAGTTCCCTCTGCTTCTGAAAACTGCCACCTACCAACCTGGATGGCCTGCCCCTTCACGGTCTCCCTGCCCTCTGAGGACAGGGGCCATTTCACATCATACCTGGGAGCTCCTGAGGAACCCACGAACCAACACAGCTCGGAGAATGGCACCATGTGATGGTAATCCCCTGACTTAATTAAGGCCATTCCCCCTTTAGGGACAACCAGCATCTGGTGACGGATCATCTGGATCCCCTGCCACAATTCTGAAGGATCCGGTGAGCTTTAGAGCAACCCGTGGGTGGCTAAGGACTTGACTGTTACTGTGTAACAACACACTTTCCCCATGCATGCAGACGTGTTTTCTTCTCCCTGTTCCTATGGGTGGTTGTGCACAAGCACTCCCCCAAATCTTCCCATGCTCAAATCTCCACCCTGGAGGACAGTATAGTAGGTTCCAGCTAATAAGGTTAACAAGAATAAATATGCTCTAAATTACTGAAAAGAGAAGAACTGAAAAACCCTAAAGAAAATTTAAAAAATGTGGGGAGCCTGGGTGGCTCCGTCAGTTAAGTCTGTCTTCGGCTGAGGTCCTGATCCCAGGGTCCTGAGACTGAGCGGCACATCAGGCTTCCTGCTCAGTGGGGAGCCTGCTTCTCCCTCCCTGCCCCCCACCCTGGTTTGTGCTCTCATTCTCCTGTGGTCTCTCTCTAATAAGTAAAATCCTTTAAAAAGAAAATTTAAAAAATGCAAAAACTCATAAAAATTCTGTAAAAGGATCAATACAAGATCAGTACAATAAAATCTACAGCCCTCCGCATCTCAACAAATATTTGAATATATAATGGCAAATTTCTGGATAACAACAGAAAGATAAAACATCTTGGAAATCCACCCCAAAAGTAAAGGAAAGCACATGGTATATGTGAAATAAATCTTGAAATTTAAAAAGAAGAGGGCAACGAAGAGGAAAGATTTTCTTACCAGTCATGAAAATATTATATAAAACTTGAGTGATTTTATTAATTTAATATTGGATGGCAAATAAAGAGGTTATGCAGAGAACTGTAAAGACAGACTCATGAACATATAAGGATTTAGTTTGTGATAAAAACAGCAATTTATGTAAGTGGGAAAAGAATAGTGTTGAAATGAGTGACTAACCATTTGCAAAACATTGAGTGAGATTTACAAGTCCTACTGTACACTAAAATAAAGCTTAGCTTTCCACGTAAACCTCTGATTCCATCCTTTCTTCTACCCCAGCACTTAATTCCATCCCTTTTCCTCACCTTTTTCTGTATGTTCCACCTCTTCCTCTCTTTTCCATCAACAATTAAGCATACTTAAGTCTTTCCTATCTTAAACTACCAACCAACTAAACAAAAGAAAAACTCTAAACCCAACCTGCTTCTTCCAGCTACCACCATGTTTCTTGGCTTCTTGAAAGAACCCTCCGTTGTTCCTGTCTTTGCTTCCCCTCCACTTTTCTTACACGGCACACCGTGTCTTACAGTGGGTCTCTGGAATAGGTTCTGCAACCAGAGAACTCTGGGCAAAAGGATTTTCAGGATGTGCTCTTAGGAGGTACAGCAGGAAGAAGGTGAAGAAGGTAAAATTAAACAGATGGAGAAGGTGACCCACGGTGTAGGTCCTACTGAGTGCTCAGGTGATCCTGTTGGGGGCGGGGCTAGAATTCTTCCAGTTGAAACATGGGGAGCAGGCCTTTTGATCCCACCACAGACAGTCACTGGCCTGGGCTGCCTTGTGCATGACAGTGCCCTGCCACTCAGGGTAACTGCCCATGGCAGGTGGTGATTCCTGATCAAAGAATGGAGTATTTGGCCTTCCAGAAGGGACTGGGTGGAGCAAGATGGTATCCACTACATTATCCACTACATCTACTTGGTGAGGGGTTTACAACCACTGGCTTCTTAAGTGATTTCTCCCCATCAGGGAAAAGCTTGACCTGGATTTTGGTTACTCCGGTTTCCTGGGGGAAATTAGGTGAGAAGTATTAGTAGAATGAGCTACAACCCCTATGGTTCCACCTGATCTCAAAACTACAACAGGCGTTCATCTTCTCCTACTCCACCACCCATCTTAGGTGCCCCTTCCCTCGGCTGACACCTCTGCCCGCTGAGGCAGTTTGCTGGGTTGGCTGACTCACCACCATGAATTGACACCCCGGTTGCTGGGCTGCTCCCAGGCTGCAGCTGCTCTACTCCTTCCAAGAGGGTCACTGTGAATGACGGCAATCAGAGCCACTCCCACTTAACTCTTTCATTTCCAAGCCCCAAATTCTACTTCTGTGGACACAGCTCCACAAACAGTTCCTGATTTAGGCTCCATCTGACAGGCAGGAAGGTGATGCCTTTCTCCCAGAGTATCTTCCCCAAGCTGGCACCTCAGCTACGCCTGGAAGAGGCCAATCCATGTCCATCAGGCTGATTGATTCTGAGTCATGTAGTAATGTGATAGGACCAGCAAATCCCTTGTTCTTGTGCAGGACTGGAACTAGATAAGGCAAGTGAGGACTTAGGGTGCACCATTTAAGGGAACCACGCAACTGGAGTGCCTAGGTGGCTCAGTCAGTGAAATGCATCACACTTCATTTTGGCTCATGACCTCAGGGTTCTGAGATATGTCAGTGTCTGGCTCCACACTGGGCGTAGAGCCTGCTTAAGGTTGCTTAAGGGTCTCTCTTTCCCTCTCCCTCTCCCGCTGTCCCACCCTGCCTTTTCTCTAAAAAAAAGAAGGGGGAAAAAAAAGTAAGGGAAGAAACCGCTCAACCTCAAGGGTGTGACATTTCTCTCAGACAATGTCTCTTTCCTGCAAAATGGCTGACCAGGCCCACTAACGGGAGGTCTGCCTATCAAAAATTTCTTCTCACCAATTTCTTCTTAGGCCAGCCCTGTTACTTGCAGTACAGAAAGAAACATTTTTGCCTTGCCCCTGCCATACCAGCTGACTCAGTCATTAATCCTGCTCCCTTTTTTCTCCTGGAGAGAAGCCATAAAGAACTTTTGATGAGGCAGTAAGAGTGATCTGAGCAAGAAGTACCAGACAATAGCAGCAAATGACTCGGTATGGGATCCTTGCGTTCATCCTCTTTATTTGTGCTTTCTTGCTCTGTTCAGGCTCAATTCCAGATGTACTACTTCTGTCTTACCATGGGTTTCTGCTGGGCCTTCCCCTACTTACGATTCCATGATTAGAATTCATGAGAGAAACTGGCCACTTAGTCACTTGATGCTCTAGGGTCAGATGCTCACTCCTATTGCCCTTATAAGATCCACGCGATGTCCATTTTCACTACAGATAACATGAGGACTATAGTGTCTCGGATTGTATGGCCAAGTCAAAGATCATTTGCATTATACCCTGACCTTGTTCTTCCTTGCAAAGCTCTTTTCTGTTCTTGTCTTCATTCAAAGATGGCAGTTTTCCATGTCACCTGATAAATGGATTCCAGCAATATTTACAGTTACAGAGTTCTAGAAGTTCTACCAAATGTTGTGTTTTTTTAATATGTTGTGAGAGACGTAAGATGCAATAAGTTTATTTTGGAGAAGATGGGCCTTTTGCCAGCACATATTGTTCCCATTCTGAAGCTCCCTTCGTGTCTGGTTCTCTTTCCTTAGAAGGGCCAGCGTCTATCACTAAGCTGTGCTTGGATTTGGCCCTTTGTGTGGTAGCCTATAGGGGAAATAAGAGTAAGGCTAAAGAGGGAAAGCACTGAATAGCGAGACACCTGCCTCATTGGAGTCCTCAGCATAATCTTCAAGCAAAGGGACAGCCACAATCTTTTAGTAACAGGCAATGAACCATGTCTTCTGGCTTAGCAGTTTCAAGGGACTCTGGGAGTTCAAGTCTATCAGCAGCATCTCCTCTTTTCCTCTTAGCCCACCATGGTATGGAAGAGCTTTCAGAGCTGAGAATTCAACCTGTTTGAAATTTTCCTACTCTTACCAATAAATTGTGAGTCTGCTCCTGTCTGACTCCCAAGATTCTTATAAAGTTTCCCAGTTCTTTATTATCTGACCAATCCTTACTTTTGAAACTTCATTTCTCATCACTCATCAAGCTCTTTATTTACTACAGTCTGTAACTAGACAATTATTTCTTAGCTCTGAAGTCTTAGTTAATACTCACTGTTGAGGAAATGCTATCAACCATAAGTGATATAATATAGTGTGTTGGTTAACAGAATATGTCCTGAGAGACTGAATCATCAGTCTTTCTTAGGCCAAGGGCTTCACTTTGTACTGCCTGTGAATCCTCCGCCAAACTACAGATATCTTTATGTTCAGCTTCCTCTCCTGTAAAACAAATATAGGTATTCTTCTTCACCATATTGTGGTGACAATTAAATAAGATGACATGTGTAAAATATTTGTAATATGTGAGATATAGAAGACTGAATAAATGTTAGCTATTTAAAAATTTTCTCTATGTTCTATAACTACTTCTGCTAAAGTTCACATACAGTATTATAATCGCCTATTTTTTTCTTTACGTTCTTCCCAGGATTATGAATTCCTGGGAGCCTAAGATACAATCTGTATAGTCTAGAAATAATTATACAAAGTTTGTAAAGAAGGTAATGGTGATGCTGTGAGGACATCTAAATCATTCTGAGGATTTAGGGAGTGTTCAGGGAAGGAAGGCATGAAAATTTGTGTTCAGTTCTGAAGAATAAACAGGAGAAATCCAAGGAGAGCATCTGAGAAGAAAGAAAAGGGCACTCTCTGGATAGAAGACAGGATTGGTGAGGGTTTGGATGCAGTAAAGAACATTAGAAAAGACATTGCTAAGACAGGAGCAAAAGGCAAGCAGGGAAGTGGTGGGAGGTGAGGCCAGTGACTGGTAGTCAGCAGGTGTTGACATGAGTAAAGCCTTTGTTTTCAGACACTCCTGGGTAGTAGAGGGTTCTTTGGAACCAAAGATTAGGTTTCTCAACATCCTGGCTGGATGGAGACTTAAAATTGTATTTAATCTGATTAAAAGAAAATAAGAAATGTTACTTTTTTTCTATGTGTTTGTGTCTAGGGGTAAAGTTACATCAGTTGCAGCTTTCCAGTGAAGCATTAGCTACCTTGCCTTGGGTTTTAGATCAAATGGGAGCTGAGGTAGAGATGATAATAGTGAATAGTACTTCTTTAAAAAGGTGTATGGTAAAATATAGGATAGAAAAGTACTCTAATTACTAAGGAATAATAGGGAACCAAGGGCAAGCTTTTTGATCATGCTGGGTGGGAGTTGTCAGTGTTTGAATGTGGTACAAAGAGGAAAGCAGCTATTGCTGATGAATCACAGTTTCTGAGGAGCATAAAGCTACAAAATCTAAAGAACAGGAGGATGAATTAGCCTTGAATGAGGGAAGAGGGAGTTAAGATACACTTCCTCCACTATGACAGGAGGAAACTAGAAGAAGATGTACAAGTTAAAGTTATTTTTACATGGGGAATAGGAAGTTTAAGAGTCTCAGAGAATGAGGTAAATGGTAGTGGAGTGATAATATTCGTGAAGTAGGTAAAAATTTGGAAAATCTCCTGAAGGGGAAAGAGAAATGAGTTGACTGGGGACACTTAAGATTATATATCTGGGTAGAATTGAAGGCAGATATAACATATTGGCAAAGCACGCAACTTGAAGAGATTTTGTTGGAAGGTAGATGATCTGAAGAATGGGAGGCAAGAACATCATGGTGTCATCTTTTACTGACTTTAGCCACACCATATTTTTTTTTCAAGATATTTATTTATCTATTTGACAGATCACAAGCAGTCAGAGATAGCCACACCATATTAACCTATCTGCTTATCTACCTAATAGCCAGGCTGTAAAATTCATGTAGACAATGACCATGTCATTTTATATTTTTGTTTCCCCAGTCCTAGAACAGTGTCTTCCACATAGTGAGTGCTCAGAGGAACTGACCTTTTGGGAGATCTGCTTGCAAAGAGAACATTCTGCTTAAGAACAAAACAAAACAAAAAAGATTGAGGGTACATTTCCAGTGAAATAGGAGTTTCAGGAGACAAAATAGAAAAGATGTAATAAGAAAAGTAAATTGTAGGGGCACCTGGGTGGCTCAGTGGGTTAAGCCTCTGCCTTCGGCTCGGTCATGACCTCAGGGTCCTGGGATCGAGTCCTGCATCGCGCTCCCTGCTCAGCAGGGAGCCTGCTTCCCCCTCTCCCTCTGCTGCTCCCCCCACTTGTGCTCTCTCTCCTTCTCTCACTCTCTGTCAAATAAATAAATTCTTTAAAAAAAGAAAGAAAGAAAGAAAGAAAAGTAAGTTGTAGGGGGTTAGAAGGGGAGGAAGAAGGCCAGAACAAAGCTATAACCAAAATACCTGTAGGAGAGAGGGGGAGAGGGTCTGGCATTGGAGACAGTCATTAGGTAGGAAGAGAATGAGAAGCAAAATGGAAAGAACTGACCTAATGCTGGAATTCTGGCCTCAAACTGTTTCCACACTAAAGCAGTTAAAGACGCTTTTGAGCTGTTCAATGCTAGATTATATGTTTGTTTGG